ATGCTGCAGAGGAACATGGATGAGGAGTGAATTTAGTTATGCTGCACTCCTGTCATCCTACTAACACTTCACCTGCTGGTGTTTCACACACCACGGGTGGTACTTTGCATTCTCCCAAATTAAATCTGTGTAGCGGAGGCAAATTGATGATTTTATCTGTTATGACCAGGAAGATGTAATATTCTATATAAATATAAAATATTCACCTGCGAGGTTTTTATTTTAATTATTCAGAAGATTCTAGCATTTAATTCAGAAGATCTAGGTTCTTTGCTTTTTCAGTGATCAACCACACTTCGTGTTACTTCAAGAAAGAGTCAGGTTTATAAAAGTAAGAATTTATTTTGCAAACAATTTAAAACATGACAAATTGTCGTCGTCGTCGTCTTCCTCCGCTTATCCGGGTCCGGGTCGCGGGGGCAGCATCCCAACTAGGGAGCTCCAGACCGTCCTCTCCCCAGCCTTCTCCACCAGCTCCTCCGGCAGGACCCCAAGGCGTTCCCGGACCAGATTGGAGATGTAACCTCTCCAACATGTCCTGGGTCGACCCGGGGGCCTCCTGCCGGCAGGACATGCCCGAAACACCTCCCCAGGGAGGTGTCCAGGAGGCATCCTGACCAGATGCCCAAACCACCTCAACTGACTCCTTTCGACCTGGAGGAGCAGCAGTTCTACTCCGAGCCCCTCCCGAATGTCCGAGCTCCTCACCCTATCTCTAAGGCTGAGCCCGGCCACCCTACGGAGGAAACTCATTTCAGCCGCTTGTATCCGCGATCTCGTTCTTTCGGTCATTACCCAAAGCTCATGACCATAGGTGAGGATTGGGAAGTAGATCGACCGGTAAATCGAGAGCCTGGCTTTCTGGCTCAGCTCCCTCTTCACCACGACAGATCGGCTCAGCGTCCGCATCACTGCAGACGCCAAACCAATCCGCCTGTCGACCTCCCGATCCCTCCTACCCTCACTCATGAACAAGACCTCGAGATACTTAAACTCCTCCACTTGAGGTAGGACCTCTCTCCCAACCCGGAGTTGGAAAGCCACCCTTTTCCGGTCGAGAATGACATGACAAATTGGTTAACTATTATTTACTGTGAGTGGATGGAGCTAAAGGTGATGTCTGAAACCTATGTGTGGATGCGATGTGGGTCAGAACTTCCGTATCTCAGAGAGCTGAGTTCTGGATGTAAAAGAGTTAGGTCTGCGTTAAGCTATGAGGTTGATTGCTATCAAAACCCACATCCGACGCCATCTGTGTGTCTACATTACCCGTATTCAGAGACCCTCTTGGTGGATCCGAAAGTCAGAGAGGTGGGATGACCGCCAGCACCGGAGGGCTGTAGAATACCGTGGTTCTGATCCTTTCAGTCTAGAGATGTCTCGGGTCACGACAGATGGATGGAGCTGAGCGTCTGGGACTCTTAAGGAGTCTAACAATATCAGCTTTGTTTCTGCAGGAACTGTTTGCTCATCAGCTTTGCAGGTGCAAAAAGGTTTTGATGACGTGTCAAAATCTTTGATGGTTAAAGAGGTTTTGCTACAGGTGGCCGGTCTGAGCGACTCTCTAGAACTGTCAAACCACTCAGGATGATCCAGTTTTAAGGTTTTGATGTTATGACTTGCACAGCCAATCAGAGGCTGACAGCTTGGGAGATGTTACCAAGACAACTCAGAAACACGCCTTCTTGATACAGGATGTTCTGACTGGGTTAATACTATGTGTGCCAGGGTTTAACTTAGCTGTACTTGTTGTTGTGTGAGTGCAGGTGTGAGGACCTGTCGTCCAAACATGTTGAACACATGGCAGTCTTAGTAGACACACATAACATAACATACATTCAGTGAGCACAGATTAATGAAGCATTTCATTATACTATAATTATTATAAGTAGTAATAAACAAATGCTTATTTAATGATTATCTAGATTATAAGTCATAGAAGGAGTTCATATTGATTTATTGAATCATTCTTGTATTTAGCAACTGATTCGCTGGAGTTCTTCCTTCTGTGGAGGCAGCCAGATGGGACCTTGGCGGAAAGAAAGTTATTGTTTATCCTTCAGACTTGCAGAGTCTGTGAATCCCATCTGGTGTGAAGGCAGACTCGTTTTAAAAGGAACACATGCAATGGTGTGTCTCCTTTCTGACCAGATGTTGAATAGATGGTGAAAGGTCAGGCTGTACCTAAACTGACCATTGCTGGACGCCACACCTGTTGTGATACAATCATAACTTTAGACATTGGAAATGCTTTTGTAAAACCGCACTGAGATGCAAAAACATGTCCAACTCATTGTTCAGAGCCTCATGTCAAAAACAAAGTAAAACCATCTCTTTTTACATCTTATTTACATTTTTTTTACAACCACAAGGGTCTGAATAATGTTCTCCAGTACAATGGCGAGTCCACAAGTCTGACGTTCACAATCCTACATAATAAACCTTTGAAATGTCCTTCAGATGAGTCTCTTTCTTCCATAGTTTTGGAAATGACCTCCGTTAGCATCCTCGTGCTAGCTCCAAATCTTTAATTGACGTCTCACCTGATCCAACAGGTGAAGTTAAAATGTTCCTGTGTAAGGAAACCCAGCAGGTTGCATTGAGTCAATGACTTGTGTTAGAGACTTTACAGCAGTCCTCATACTGTACAAGCATGTAGCGACAGTGGAGAGGAAAATTCTCCTTTAACGGGAAGAAACCTCCAGCTGAACCTGGATCAGTGTGAGCAGCAGGACGGCCGACTGGGGGCTTTGAGCTCATGTGTGCTGCGATGTCAGCACTCAACAACAACACGGTGCAGCTC